TAGCCATTTTGGCTCAAGCCATTTTGGCTCAAAGCCTGCCTGGGCGCGTGGCAGGAGGAGCGCGCCGTGCCTCTCCCTGTAGAGCCCTGTCACCTCGGCAGGCACAGAGAGCGGCTCAGTCTCTTTCCCCCTGCGCGCGCGGATCATGGCTACGGGGGGCGGCCGCACCAGCAGCTGGCTGCCCGGACCACTCCGTACCGACGAGGCGGCCGCCGCAGGGCCGTCTGCGGCTCGGCGCGCGGCCCGAGCGCGTGCCCGTCTGGCCTGCGAGGCGGCCCTCCGCAGGGCCCTCGGCAGCAAGGACCACGCGCCGGGGTCCTGGCGGGACCGCGAGGTCGCCTCGCGACCAGCGCTCCAGGCCCTTGCATCTCGCAGAAGGGTGCCAGGCGCCGCGCGTCGGAGGCGCAACGCGGCATGGCACGCCGCAGACGCCCCGGTGGGAGGCTTCACGCTTGCCAAGGCGGCGGCGGGCCCCCGCCTCGGACGGCCGAGCCTCCCTGGGGCCAATTACAAGTACATCGTCGTGGAGGTACCACAGGGCTGCTGGACCGCCTCGCCGCTGACACCTCTGAGTGGAGCCGCCGCAGAGGCCGCCCATCACGGCGCGCGGAGCGTGCCTGGCGTCGCCTACCCGACGGACGCCAACCTCTCCCAGGTGGCGGATCGGGCGCTCCGCGCGGCCGTCGCGCGCCGGAGCCGGGAATACGAGGACGACGGCTACGACGGCTACAACCACGGCGACCCCGACGGCTACGACGGCTACGACCACGACAGCTACGACCACGGGGACCCAGTCCAGTCCGAGGGTGCGGAGGAGTCGCCCTTCGTGGAGGCGTTCGGGATGACGGAGGACGGCTACCACGACAACGGCGGCTACGATTGCACCGACGAGCGCGGCTACGTCGGCAACAGCGACCTCCGCTCCTACGACGGCTGGCGGCCGAGCCTCCGCCCCCCGCCCAGCAAGGAGGAGGTGGAGGACGAAATGCGGAGAGCACGAGCGCCCACTGAGAAGATAGAGTACGATTCCGACGCGGACCCAGAGGACCACGAGAGCTACGACGGCTGCGACTACGGCGGCTACGACGGCTACGACAGCGAGACCCACCAGGCGCTGCACCGCACGAGCAGGGAGCTTGATGGGGAGAGCGCGGTCGACAGCTTCGTCATACCAAGTACCCGCAGTGGATCGGCCTCACGGCGGGATTGGCCCCCCCAAAAGGGCCCCCCGAGTTACGACGGCTACGACTACGGCGAACACGACGGCTACGACAGCAAGGCCCACCTTGCGCTGCACGGCACGAACAGGGAGCTTTGTGCGGAGAGCGCGCTCGACAGCGTCGCCATACCAAGTACCAGCAGTGGATCAGCCTCACGGTGGGATTGGGCCCCCCAAAACGCCCCCCCGCCGTTCGAGACCAACGAGACGAGCGAGCAGAAGGCGCTGCACGGGCACGAACAGGGAGCTGGACAGGGAGCTGGACGGGGAGCTGGACTGGAGGAGAGCAAGCGGAGCAGCGGCGACGACCCCCCAGAGCCCCACAAGAAGGTGCGCTTCTGCTTGCACGAGGATGTGGATGGCCACTTCGAGGCGGAGAGGCGCCCGGGATCGTGAAGAACTCGTTCGGCGCCCCCCTGGAGGTGATCATCCGGCCAGGCCGTGCGCCGTGCTGCCTGACGCCCGCGGGTGCGGGCGCGCGCGGCGCCCGGGCCCTGTCGGGCCTCCCTCTTTTTGGGAAAACCCGGCCCCTCTCCCCTCTTCCGAGGTATTTGGTCCCTGGTCCTCTCTCTTCCTCGGGGTCGGGTTCCCGGGGCCGTCGTCTGAGTGCCCGCACGGCCCTCGTGGGCTGCTGCGGCGCGCTCCGCGCCCCGGGCGCATGAGAAGACGCTGGCTGAGCGAGAAACGTAGAAACGTAGGAGGAGGAGGAGGAGGAGGAGGAGGAGGAGGAGGAGGAGGAGGAGGAGGACGGATGAGGAGGAGGAGGAGGAGCAGGAGGAGGAGGAAGAGGAGGAGGATCGGAACGGATCGGCTGTCCACGAAGGAGGAATCCAGCCCCTGCTGCCAGGCGAGCGCCGAGCCTATATGAGCTCGACGGTCGAAGTTGGCCCCCGGGGAAGGGATCCAAACCCCGAGCGCATCTCCGAGGAAGGGGCTGGTCAGGTCAGAAGCCTTGCGCCAGACGGCGTGCGAGCAGAGTGAAACAAGACGATTGCGCCTGCGAGGGTGCCCTTCGGCATTCCAGCCAAAGCAGGCTCTGCAACGCATGTCCGGCTGATATGTGCTAAAGGAGTAGGAGGAGGAGGAGGAGGAGGAGGAGGAGGAGGAGGAGGAGGAGGAGATGGAGATGGAGGAGGAGGAGGAGGAGGAGGAGAGGAGGAGGAGGAGGAGGAGGAGGAGGAGGAGGAGGAGGAGGAGGAGGAGATGGAGGGGGAGGAGGAGGAGGAGGGGGAGGAGGAGGCAGCTGGGGCGAACACGAAAACAAAATAAACGAAGGGAGGGCTCGACTGAGCAACCTCCTCCCTCCCGCCTCCCCCCTCTCCCACCCCAAAACGTCGCCCCAACACCGGCGACCTCGTACACCGCACGAGCGCGAGGGCGGGAGCGTTGCGGGCGTGAGGGCTGGAGGACGAGGAAGTACTCTGAGGACCCGATGTGAGGGTAAACGGACAGCAGCAACAGACATCGGGCGGGCGGTAATGGGGGGTGACCTAAACTGGGGGTGACCTTAGGCGTCGGTGTGTTTCTGCTTGCGCAAATGTTTCTGCACCGTTGTGCCGCCTCCGTGTCACAGGCATTCCCCTCACTGTGCAAGTCCAGGGTTTTTATGTCGAGCCTGGTTTGCAGTGTGAGGCTGCGTGCGTTTGGTAGTCTAGCATGCGTGATGTGGTTCTTTGCGAGTTCCAAAAATGGGGGTGAAGACAAGGGCCCAACATGGGGCGCTTAGCGCCCCTTCTGGAGCCAGCAGGGGCCCACAGGGGGCCCCAAAGTGCCCCTTTACGGCCTTTCTCTTCCCCCCCCCCTTAGCTCACCCCCTATTGCCACCAGCCCGAAACAGCAACACATGAGAAGGGAACCGCTTTCACCCGAACTTCGAGCTGGAACTAGACACCAGCACAAGAAAGACGAGAGACGTCCAGCAAGCCTCCGCATAGTACCAGCTTGCCCCACGATCATGAATCAGGTGGAAGGTTACATGGAAAACTCCTGGAAGATGAGAACTCCCGAAAACTAAGCGCGGGAGGAAGACGTAGAGGCTGCGAATGGAGGTACGCCGCGCACGTGCCAATCTCTTTCGAGGAGATCCACGAATGCGAAAGTCAAGTATGCCCACCCCGACCCGCCCAGATCCCCAACCCCACCACAGTGCAGAAGGGAATGTCTGGAGGCGACGGGGGAGCCCCGCGGGGGGAGAGCAAACTGATGGCCCCCAACTGAATGGGCAGGGCTGTGGGCCAAGAGGAACTGCTTGGGAGCGCATGCGCAACAGGAGGGAGACGGCGAAGCCCTGTTAGACAACTGAAGAGAGCAGCACAGAAATCCTCACAAGCAGTTTGCTGGGGTTGAGCAGGAGGCACGCGAGAGGAGGCGACGGAGGATTCCCAAAGGGGGGATCTTCCGGAGGCCTCTAACCGAATACGCAGGTTTTGGGCCTCGGAGAAAGACAGCCTGACACGAAGACGGGAATTAGGCATAAACGCCAAGAGCGACAAGTTCCAGTAGCCAGTGCACATGAGCATGAGCAATTCGAATCCCAAGTGAATGCGGCGAGGCCGAATCGGGGAGACCCAAGCGAGCAGGGAACGGGAAGGAGGGCGCAGATGCCACGAATGCCCAATTCTGACCAGGCGTATTTGAACTGCGCAGATCCAGTCTGCTTGCCTTGGCTCGTGGACTCTGGGAAGATCTTCGGAACTCTGCTTGACCTGTGGGTGAACCACCGGGCTCACGAGTCCTGCTCGCCTGCGAGCGAGTGGCCAGTCCAGCACTCCCTGCAAGGGAAGCTCTTGCCTAGCTTGCGGAGGCGCCCCCCTCTTCCAAGCCCATCAAACGTGTGATGTCCGCAATGCGCGCGAGGTGGCTCTTCGGACGGCTTGCACCGATTGCAATGACAGAGGCCACTATTGACTCGCACGACAGGCCAAGGGGTCCTCTTGCAGGACCTGCAGGTCGGAGGCGCCACGGAAGATGGATCAACCCGATTCGCCTGACCTCTCTGGCGCTGCACCTCAACCTGTTTCGCGGCAGAAGCAACTGCTGGAGGAGTCGCGGCTCAAGAGACGGGGGTCAATGCAAACGGTGGTCAGCCAGAGCGCCAGATCTTGCAGGATCCTGCAGGGGCAGGGTCGCACTGACCTGGGTTTGGGTGCAGGATCCTGCAGGATTCTGCAGGGCCAGGCCAGGGTCGCACTGACCCGGGTTTGGGTGCAGGATCCTGCAGAATCCGGCAGGATCCTGCAGGGCCTGATTGACCCGGGTCTGGATTGACCCGGGCCTGCAGACCCCCGACGGAAGAGGAGGGCAGGGCTCGGGCGGCGAAGCTCCGAAAGAGCGCGCCCGTGGAACCGTCCTTACTTGCAAGGGAGGCTCCAGCTTAGAAGCTATCCCCCCCGCTCACTCGGAAAAGGCGGGGGGGGCTTCCGAGGGTTCCCCCCCCCCCCCCCTCCTCTCTTTTGTGAGCGTCATTCAGCTGGGGCTGCCCTAGCTAAGGGGGGGGGGGGGCTTGGAAGCTCCCCCCCCCTCCCCTCCTTTTCGGGGCCAGTGGTCAGCCTGGGCTCCCCTTTCCAAGAGGGGGGTCTGCCAAAACTGCTCCCCCCCCTTCCTTTTCTTCGGATTTTGTAGCTGGGCGGCTCCTGGCTACGGGGGGGAGCTTGGAAGCTACCCACCCCTCCCCTCCTTTTCGGGGCCTGGGGTACTCCCCGGCTCCCTTTTACAAAGGGGGGAGGGCTTCCGAAGCTACCACCCCCTTCGCCTCCTTCTCTTTGTATTTCCAGGTGGAGGGCCCTGGTTGAAGGGGTGCTTTGAAGCTACTTTCATCTCTGCTGTTCGGCGCCCCTTTGGTCTTCGGCGTACTTCTTGCTTTCGGCGTCTCTTTGGTTTTCGGCGTCTCTTTGGTTTTCGGCGCCTCTTTGGTTTTCGCCGCCTCATTGGTTTTTGGCGCCCTTTGGGTTGCGGCGCACCTTTGGTTTCCGGCCCTCCTTTGGTTTTCGGCGCTCCTGTGGTTTTCTGCGTTCATTTGGTTTTCGGTGCTCCTTGGGTTTTCGGGCACCTTGTGGGTTTCGGCGCATCGTTGGTTTTCGGCGTCTTCTTGGGATCTGGCGCCATATTGACTCTCAGGGCCCTTTTGGTTTTCGGCGCCCTTTGGGGTTTCGGTGCCCCTTTGGTTTTCGGCGCACTCTTTGTTTTCGGCGCTCCTTTGGTCTTCGCCGCTCCTCTTGTTTTCGGCGCCCTTTGGTTCTCGGCGCCCCTTTGCTTTTTCGGCGCCCTTTGGTTATCGGCGCATCACTGGTTTTCGGCACTCCTTTGGTTTTCGGTGCTTCTTTTGGTTTTCGGCGCCCCTTGTGTTTTCGGCGCCCTATGTTCGGCGCCGTTATGGTTTTCGGCGCCCTCTTGTTTTCGGTGCCCTTTTTGTTTTCGGCGCCCCCCTCTGGTTTTCGGCGCATCGCTGGTTTTCGGCGCTTTTTTTGTTATCGGCGTTTTTGTTTGTTTCTTGTTGTTTTTGTTGTTCTGTTAGCTAGTTAGTTTCATTTTTTTTGGTTTGTCTGCGCCTCCTTGATTTTCGGCGCCCCGTGGGTTTTCGACAATCCTTGGGTTTTCAGCGCAACGTTGGTTTTCGGCGTCCTTTTGGTTTTTGGCGGCCCTTTGGTTTTTGGTGCCTTTTTTTTTCGGCTGCCCTTTGGTTTTCGGCGCCTCTTTGGTTTTCGGCGCCCTGTGTTTTTTCTGCGCCTCTTTGGTTTTTCGGTGCTCCTTGGGTGTTCGGCGCCCATTTGGTTGTCGGCGCCCTTTTGGTTTCTGGCGCCCTTCTGGTTTTCGGCGCCCCTTTTTGTGTTCGGAGCTTCTTTGGTTTTCGCTCCCCTGTTGTCTTCTGTGCCCCCTTGGTTTTCGGAGCACCCTTTTGTTTTCGGCGCATCGTTGGTTTTCGGCGCCCTCTTGGGTTCGGGCGTCCTCTTGGCTTTCGGAACCCCTTTGGTTTTCGGCGACCTTTCGGTTTTCGGCGCCCCTTAGGTTGCCGGCTCCCTTGTGGTTTTCGGCGCCCCTTTGGTTTTCGGCGCTCCTTGGGTTTTCGGCGCTGTTTTGTTTTGTGGCGCCCCTGTTGTATTCGGCGCCCCTTTGGTTTTCGGCGCCCTATTGGTTTTGGCGCCGTTATTGTTTTCGGTGCCCTGCCGAAGTTCGGCGACTCTTTTGGTTTTCGGCGCCCCGTTGGTTTCGACGCTTTTTGGTTTTCGACGCCCTGTTGGTTTCCGGCGCTTCTCTGGTTTTTAGCGCCCCTGGTTGTTGGCGCATCTTTGGTTTTTTGGCGCCCCGTTGGTTTTTCTGAGCATCGTTCAAATTTCGGCGCCTCTCTGATTTTCGGCTGTCTTTTGGTTTTCGGCTCTCCTTTGCTTATTGGCGCTCCTTTGGTTTTTGGCGCTTCTTTGATTTTTGGCGCCCCTTTGGTTTTCGGCGCACCTTTGGTTTTCGGCGCCCTTTCGGTTTTCGGCGTTCCTGTGGTTTTCGGCGCGCCTGTGGTATTCAGCGCTCCTTTTGGTTTTCGGTGGCCCGTAAGTTCTCGGCGCTCTCTTAGTTGTCGGCGCTCTTTTGGTATTCGGCGCCCCTTCCTTCGGCCAAACGGGGGGGAGGCTTCAAAGCCCACCCCTTGAGTCAAGAAAAAAGGAGGGATGGGACTTGCGGCAGGAGGGATGGTTCAAAGAGA